ATCTCTAAATGTTTAATTTTTTTTTTTACCAATTTTTAATACAGAAGATAAATAATAAATGCTCTAAAATCCTGGGTATGATTAGCTAGTTTCTTTAAGAAAATGAATTCATAACCCAAGTAGTCTTTGTGAACTAACAAAATTGTACTCATTCATTAGCATCAACTATACTTAGCTTTATATTAGAAATAAACAATTATTCACTAGTTTTTAATGTCTACATTTTAAATTTAATATGTTCTGAAATATACAACATGTTAATAGGACAAATGCAATATTGCTGCCTTTTTTTTACTACTAAAATATTTACATTGCGTCTAATACTTTTCTTCATTTGCTGATCTATTTATACCTACACCTATATTTCTTCTTTTCCATTTCAGTCATTATATAGAATTCCTGAAACATATGTTCCCACTGAGCAAGTAGCCTGATGTCCGTTTACACTACACAAATGATAACTGATAAGGAAATGATGGGATTAAGCTGGTCAGGGACTTGCAATAACTTACTATGATAAGAGCAGCTGCCGTATCAGTTTTATTAGCCCACTAAATCACCACTAATAAATAAGATAATAGCTTTTGTCCATCATGTCTGAAAACCAAGATTCAACTGATCAAAGTCTATAAGAAATTAAAATGTAACTTCAAATCAAACAGTCCACCTCTGCATGAAGAGTAGATATTCTCCTTTACTCCTCTGAGTTATTGGGAGCAAGGGTGGGATATGGGCTCTTTTTACTCAAAACTATATCTCTAGGGCTTAGTGAGCTTCAGGACACTCAATAAAATGCTTATTATATAAATAAATATTAATAGTGGATTTTTTTTTACACTATGTATTCTATCTTTGTATTCTTTGAATCTCAAAGACTCTTGTTTAACACCATGCTTTATACATCAATATAAATATGAATGATTGCTCATTCTTGATACAATAACACTTATACATAAAATAAGCAATACTTTTCATTACTCTTTTGTACCGATAGACTGTTGTTTTATTTTTATTTATTCAAAATCTAAATTTAAAGAGATTACAAAGAAAAATAATCAGAGATATATTTTCAGCATCGGTTGCAAATCAAAGAGAAGAGAAAAAAAAGGGCAAAAGCTGAAATAATATAAATAAATATTCAGTAATAGTATATTTAGGGCATTATGCTAAATACTACAATAAAATAAATTTTACAAAATTAATAGTAAAATTGGGAGAAATTATAAATTCCTGTTTTTCCAAAATATGTTTACATCTTCATTTATATTTCTGGTTCATCATTTGTTCATATTTCTAGAGTATATAATAATAACTTTCATAAAATGTAAATTTTGAATTATTAAACAGCCATTAGAAATGATTATTGTAAAGATATCTAATATACCAATATATAGGAATGTTTAGGACAAAATTAAAAGCAGGAAGCAAAACTGTTTGTACTACAAATTTGCTTTTATATAAAACATAAATATATTTCAATAAATATAAAATAATTAAAAATGCCTTATGATGGAAGCTTGAGAAAATGTTAGCTCTTTGAGAAAGAATCCAATAAAAATAATAAAAGTCCAATAAAAAATAAAATTTTAAAATTTAGATCAGAAAAATAAACTTAAAAAAAAACAAAAGTTGGATTAAACAATTGTTTTGTTGACTTGACTGATATCAGAAAGAGGTAGGCTTTACTACCTGACAAAGCACAAGCTGTAGAGCCAAATAAACCTTGACTTACATGCCAATATTGTTATTTTATAGTATCTGTGTGGGCTCAGGCAAGTCAATAATCTTAACTGCAGTGTCCTGATTTGTAAAACACAGGAATTCCAATCTTGTATTGTCATTGCAAGGATTATAGTGTGTATGTATATGTGTGTGTTGCTCAATAAATAATAACTTGAACTGCATTGCTGATATTTTGATACACTAAGTTATTAATTTCATATCATTAAGAATAGAAAGGTTGAGCTGAAACTGGTTTAGCTCAGTGGATAGAGCGTCGGCCTGCGGACTGAAAGGTCCCGGGTTCGATTCCGGTCAAGGGCATGTACCTTGGTTGAAGGCACATCCCCAGTGGGGGTGGGTGCAGGAGGCAGCTGGTCAATGATTCTCTCTCATCAATGTTTCTAACTTTTTATCCCTCTCTCTTCCTCTCTGTAAAAAGTCAATAAAATATATTTTTTTAAAAAGAATAGAAAGGTTGAAAACATATTCATTCCTATACTTTATTAAATTTTCAAAAGAAAACTATGAGGTAGATATTTATAACTTACTTAAATGATGAAAAGCTGAACAATTCATCTAGAGTTATACAGCTTTATATGAAAGTATGAAATTAAAGCTTAGATTTGTCCAACTTTAAACCCTAGGCTTCCAACCACTTGGAAATGCTGCTTTTTGATATGTGCTATCTCCTAAAATTAAAATTGAAGAATATTTCTTAGAAATATATATAAAAAAAAACAACAACAAGAAAACTACCTGGCTAAGAATAATTACATCAAAGCATTACCAATTACAAGATACACAAACTCTACATTTTGCCATTCTTTCAACATCCTTAGTTTACATTGGAAAATTTCATTTTCCCATGATATCAAAACACCAAACATATAATAGCAAGTTATAACAAGCAAATGGTACATCAGGAAGGTAGAAGAAAATTCAAATTGCTAATGCTTTGTTCTTGGGCATGTCTGCTCTTAGATATCAAACAAATTGCCTGCAGTCACCATGTATTGTTACATAAACCTAAACACCGGAGTCTCCCCGTGTCACAAAGGACAGGGTTAATGATTCATCCCTAATCCTAAAGGCTCCTTCTAGGATCAATTGACTTTCTCTGCAGCCTGCCTGCCCTCTGTATACCCTAGGAAGAGGATTTCTCAGCATTGCTTTGCCTCTTTTTTATTATCTATCTACTTCAAACACAAACTGATCTTTCCACCACACACAATTCAGTAGAAATCAAATTCAATAGATATCAGCCAGATAAATTGAGTCAACTTTGAATAAAAGCTGACTTGGTCAGAAGGAAAAATCTAATATATCTTTCAATCTGGCATTTATTTCTCCTTCTCAGGCCACAATACTGTTAACATGAGTTGGAATCAATTACATGAATACTAATTGATAATCTATTATGTATTAGACAAAAGGTAAAATATGAATATAAATGAGACAAAGTCTCTATCCTCAAAATACCCTCTGTTGAGGCGAAGATATAAGTTAACTTCACATTAAGGTAGGTTCCAATAGATTGCCAGGAGAGTACAAAAGAACCTACAGCAAATCAAGAGGCTAAGAAAAGATCCTGAAGAATAGAAAGTTCATGGGACATGCTTTTAAATGGATAATATTTCAATATGCCCATAAGGAAAAGGTCGTTGCAATGGAGGAAGACAGCCTAAACAAGGAAGAGACAGTTGAGGGTGAAGCAATGGATAGTAGGACAATAATTTGAGGAAAGCATAGGCTGCATGCTGAGAAATGAGAACTAGATTATAAAATAGGAAAATGGATTGGGACTAATTCATAATGAACCTTTAATGTCAAAGTGATAAAAAAAATTGTCTTTCATAGTAGAAATGATGAGCTGTTGAAAGTTTCTTAGCACGAGAGAAGCATGATTGAATCTGAACGTTTAGAAGGTCAATTAGAAAAATTGTATTGAACAGACTGGGAGAACTGAGTCAGACCAGGTTACTAAAGTGAGAACCAAGACACAATCAGAGAAGTCCAAAAATAGGACCTCTTTTTTGGCAGGGACTAAGACTGAGTTAGACAATAGGGTTGCCACCAGTCACATGTGGGGTACTGACCACTTGCAATGTGACTAGTGTGAGTTGAGATGTGTTGTAAATGA